TGCAGCATCATAATACATTGATGAATTACGTTGCTTGAGGCCAAAAAGGTCGCATATCTTGGTCATCAATTTGTTATCGAACGGCTTGCCATTATCTGTTATGATATAACTAGGAATTCTAATACGATAGATGATATTCACTCGAATGAAGTTTGCAACATTCTTTTTCTTTACATCCTTGATGGCGACAACCTCTGCCCATTTCAAGAAATAATCAGTTGCAGCTAAGATATACAAGTGGCCACAAGAAAATTTCGGTAGCGGTCCAACAACGTCTAATCCCCAAGAATCAAATGGCCAAGATGCTACAGTTAGATGTAACACTTCAGGAGGCTGGTGTATAAAAATTGCATGAAGTTGGCATGCTTTGCATCTTTGGGCATAGTCCAAGCAATCTTTGACCATTGTTGGCCAATAATACCCCATCCTTTTTATATGAAAATGCAGCTTCGGCCCAAAATGATGTGAACCATAAACTCCAAATGTGCCTCTTGCATAGCTTGAGTCGCTTTATCTTCCCCTAAACAACGCAGGAGAACTCTCTCGAATGATCTTCGATACAAAGTCTCTTTGTAGTAAAGGAAGCAAGGGGCATGATGACGGATTTCAGTCTTTCTCCTTAGATCATGTGGAAGTATCACATAGCATAAGTAGTCTATCATGATTTGTCTCCAGTCGACCTTCTCAGCTTCAGAAACGGCTACAAGATGCTTAAGTTTGCTTTCTTCATCCTCATACTCATCTGGTGGAACTATCCATTTTTGGCAGATAGTGATTCGCGGTTGGTTGAGCAAAGTCAATATTGAACCAAGAGAAACTAAAGCGTCAGCTTGCTTATTTTCCTTCCTTGGCACATGCTGAAGAGTGACATCGCCAAGCCATCCAATCAATTTCTCCGCATAGTCATGATAGGGATGCAATTCTGGCTTTTTTACCTCGTAGCTACATAGCAATTGATTGATCACCAATTCGGAGTCTCCAAATATATGTAATTGGAGTTGTTTCATATCAATGGCCATTTCAAGCCCAAGTATGAGTGCTTGATATTCTACAACATTATTAGAGCAACATTGTGTTAAAGTGAGAATATGGCAAGAGCTCTTCTTGGGAAGTGATGAACACTACATGCTCCAGATCCTTCACAATGTGTGGCGTCATCAAAATACATCTTTCAAGGCATTTGAACATTGACGACCATTGCATCTTCGTTAGGTAACTCATCAGTTAGCTTCCAATCATCCGATATCGGATGATGAGCTAAGAAGTCTGCCAATGCTTGCCCTTTTATAGCTTTCTAAGGCACGTACACGATCTCGAATTATTAAAATTGGAGGTACCACCTCGCTAGTCAGTCACTAAGGACGGGTTTTGACATCACATACTTAATGGGATTTGCTTTGGAAATGAGACGGACAACATGAGCTTGAAAGTAGTATTTCAACTTCTGAATTGAGAAGACTAGGGCCAAACATAGCTTCTCAATCGGTGAATACTTCAACTTGTTTGGCATCATCATTCTACTCAAGATGTAAAAGGAATTTTCTTTCCCTTTACTATTCTCTTGGGCTAAGAGTTCTCCAACCGATCTTTCTTGTGTCGCTATATATAGTATCAATGGCTTCCCAGGCATGGGAGCCGCTAGAATTGGAGGCCTCGCCAGCTATGATTTGATGTTATCGAAGGTATTACTACAAGCATGGCCCACTCAAAAGGGACACCCTTCTTCATGAGACTATTAAATGGTTGACACTTCCCTGCTAAATTTGAGATGAATCTCCTAAGATACGCCAACTTCCTAGCAGACTTTTTAATTCATGGATATTTCTTGGCTCAGGTATTTTTAGGATTGCATCTACTTTGGCTTGATAAATTTCTATCCCTCGATGTCGAATAATGAAGCCAAGGAATTTTCTAGAAGTAACTCCAAATTCACATTTCAAAGGATTCATTCTGAATTGATACCTTCGTAGTAGATCAAACACCATTCTCAAGTCTTGCAAGTGGTCTTTCCTCTTTCTTGATTTTACCACCAAGTCACCAACATAGCATTCAACATTTTTGAAGCATGTTATCGAAGATATTTTGCATAGCTCTTTGTTAAGTGGCGCCAGCATTCTTCAAGCCAAAAGGCATCACCTTATAGCAATAAATACCTTTGGGAGTACAAAACGCAGTAAGCTCTTCATCCTTAGGTGACATGTAAATCTGATCATAGCCAGACGAACCATCCATAAAAGATATCGCCTCATATCCAGTGGTGGCGTCGATCATAAGCTCGGGAATAGGTAGTGGAAATTCATCCTTACGACATGCATTATTCAGATCCCTAAAGTTGACACAAACTCAAATTTATCCGTTCTTCTTCCTCATATGGACAATGCTTGAAATCCATGTGGGGTACTTAACTTCACGAATGAATCCAGCTTCAACAAGCTTGTTAGCTTCAGCTTCAATTAAGGGAACCAACTCTGGCCTAAAGCGTCGTTGAGCTTTCTTGATAGGACGGGCACCTTTCTTGATTGCAAGATGATGGAATGCCACTTTGGGGTCTAAACCAGGCATCTCTTTATAACTCCAGGCAAAGACATCATTATACTCCTTAAGTAGCTCAACGTAAGCCACTTCTTAGTCAACTGCGAGTAAAGCACTTACATAAGGGGACCTTGGATCAACTTCAATGTCAAGGTTGACCTTTTTCATTGCATCGACCGTCATTTTAATCCCTTCCATAAGTTCGGGCTGAGCATCTTCAGCATCTTCATCTTCTTGAGAATCGCCATCATTGAAAGATATGTGGTAACACCAGGAAATATCCTTCAATTCATCGTCAATATTTTTTAGAGATAAAGTATAACACGCATCTTGTGCACTAACATGATATGAAGATCCAATACTTTCTTTTCTTCATCACGTTCTTTGGTGTAGACCACAACGTGCAACTTTACTTTTAGTATCTCTCCGCACAAAATCACAAGGTTTGTCTGTTGCCTTATTCTGGAAGGGATCAAACTTTGACAATCATTAGAACCTTTGATATTTCGACAAAGAAAATGCTTTCATGCTTTTATAGTTTTTGTGCAACTTTCTTTTCTTCTTCAACGGACCTAATCTCTCAAATATGGAAGTTCTTGCAGTTGATTTTCCAAGACAATCGAAAACAGAAGGCCTTTCATTAGAAGGAGCAGATTCGTCTTCTGTAGTGATGAAGTTATTGCTTGCCCTTCTTATGGAGATGTAGACTGGTGTATCTTATTTATATCCCAAACCTTCACGCGATTGCCTTGTAACAAGTTTTGAGGGAAGCTTACCTAATTGTGACAGCTCATTAGGATTGTATCCAACCTTTACAAGTAGGTTGTAAGCATTTGGATCAAAGCCTTCATTTGTACGCTTCTCTGGGAGTGCATCATTTTGTAGAAGACTACGGGCCACAAATTTTCAAAGTAATTTTGAGGATAACTTTACCGTGTCAACCCGCCTAATAGGAAGGGTCATTCCTCTTAATGCATTTCCTTGCAACTTAGGAGATTGTTCTTCAACCTTCTTAACCTTGGGAACTGTCACGACCCCAAATCCCCTCCGTAGGATATCGTGACGGCACCTAGTCTCTAAGACTAGGTAAGCCTAACAATATGCGAAAACATCAAATAAAAACTTAAAATTTTAAAACTTCAACAATTTCATCAATAGACTGTAAGCTCAATACGTATAATTTCCTGAACCCCGGTGAGATATAAGTCACAAGCTCTAGATACAATGCTGAACAATCCTATACATCACTGTCTATCAAAAACATAAGGAAATAAGGAAAACAAGATAGAAGGGGATTCTGAGGCATGCGGACGTGGGCATGTGTACCTTGAAGTCTCCAAAGCAGCAACACAGTGCACTAATATCAAGGATGATAGGATGCACTTGGATCTACACAAAAATATATGCAGAAGTGTAGTATGAGTACACCACAACGGTACCTAGTAAGTGTCAAGCCTAACCTCGGTAGAGTAGTTACGAGGTCGGGTCAAAGCCCTACTGGAGATAATAAGAAACAAGACAAAGATAATATGATATAATGAAAATGACAGGGAAGTGAACAATAAAGAATTTACGGGAAATAACAACACGGAATCAAGGAAAGCTAATACAACACGAAAGGAAAACAAGAATTTTACTTGTTAAGGAAAACAAGAACCAAACAATACAACAAATAAAGAATATCAACAGGGGAACTCCCGATGTACCGCCTCGTAGTCCCAAATCGTAAAAATAAATCACAGTCTTTCTTTATATCACCGCGGGAGCCTTTATATTTGGTTTTTTAAAATTATTTTCCCAAAATAGCATCTCCGTTTTAGCCCACCTTATCACACCGCATGACTTCTAATAGTTCCCCTACTAGCCACGCGTATCAAGCCCACCTTATCTCACCACATACATTTTAACACCCATACCTTATACCACCGCATGCGTATCAATAATCACAACGGCATGGCAGAAATCTCGTGCAACAATAACAACCACACGACAGAAACGTGCAAATAATAACAACCTTCACGGCAGAAACCTCGTGCAACAATAACAACAGCACGGCAGAAACCGCGTGCAAATAACCAAACAATCACCTCAGCAATAAAACGAAAGACAAAACACAACAACTGAATAAATGATATTCCAAGGATAGCAATTTCAAGTAAAGAATTCCCACAGTTAAGTAATGAATACGGAAATCAAGAAAAGCAAGTAATTCAACTAAACACACTACTACAAAAAAGGCCTTTGGCGGCAATTATTTAGCGGCAATAAGGCAATTGCCGCTAATAGATTCTTTAAGCTGAAATATTAGCGGCACATGACCATGATATCCTTTTACCGACAATAAAAATAAAATACTACTAAAAATCACTAATTAAAATAGATTTTTATTATTCTAACTTTCCCTCCGTAGCCAAAAAAGAAAAAAAGCTTTCCCTCCAATTTGTTTGGACATTAATGAACCATTCCCTCCAAAATAAGAAAACCTATTCCCTTCATCAAACATGAAATGGAAGACGGCTGGAAACAAAATCAAGCAGACACAATATAACAAACCAACGCAGACACAATAAAATTTCCGGCAGAGATAGCCTTCTTCCTCGGGTAACTTCTCTTCTTACCCAGAAAGTTGATTTATTGGTGCTCCTTGATTCTTTATACAGTTCGTTTGGTTTTTTTTTACATTTCCAATTTGATTTAATCGAGAAAAAAAGTGAAGGTGACTCTGAGTTGTCTTTGATCCAATCTTCTTCTTTTGTTATTTTGGTAATTGGATTTCTTGAATTTTTTACAGAATTTGTGCAATTGAGATGATTGAGAACCTTTCTTATCTATCCCCTTTTGTTGTTTTCCTCTGTTCTATGTTTCAATCTGCATAGGTTAATTGTGACACTAATGAATAAAAATGATTTTTTTGTTTGTTTTTCATGTTCTTAATTTTGGTGATTTAAGGTGAATTCAGTTGAATTAGAGGGGAGGATTATTGGATTAAGCGATCTTTTAGTGATTGATTATTGTAATCATCATTTCTAATTATTTCTCTTATTTTCTCAATGCACCTTCAGATGCATCTTTTTTTGGGGTTAAATTCTAAGTTGCTATTTCTGGCTACATAGATACATGAACATTCTCACACACAATTTTATATTTTTCTTGTTGTGTTAATTTTCAAGTAGAATGAAAGTTGCGAATTGTTTATATTTATTTTTTCTTTACATTCCAAACTCACTTCAGAAGTAAAGAGTGAAGAGCGAAGAACCTATATATTAATTGATTCCTAGAACTTTTCAAAATTAATGATGTTGATTTTGTATAACATGTAACAATTTATTATTTAGTATCATTTTTGGTCATTTGATTTTGACCTGTCTAGTTTAACTGCCATTTGTCTTGAGCCGAGTTTCTATTGGAAACAGTCTCGCTACTTTCAAGGTAGGGGTAAGGTCTTCGTACACACTATCCTTTCCAAACCCCACTTGTGCAACTATATTGGGTTTGTTGTTGTTTATTGTTGTTTGGATTGGTGCTGCTCGATTATGCTCAATCTTCATGGTCAATATTATCTCTTTCATCCGTCTCCAACTTCTCTTTTCGTGTAGGTTTCAAGATTGTTGCAGAAATCATTCTTCTCCTTCACTTTCTTGTCATTATCGGCAAAATATTCTGCTTACCAGGTACAAATTTGAGATTTTTGATATCCAACTATTGTGTTTTAGGATTTGTGAAAGTATAGTTTTTCTGCGTATGCTAAGTTATATGTGTTATCCTGTTGCTGTTAAATTGATGTGCAATTGATTGAATTTATTCCTCCTCTGTTCCTCTAATGTTTTATGAATTAGTTTCTTTGTATGTTTTCTAAGGCTACTGTTATTTTTGTGATTGTTCATAAATTTTCTAAGTGTCGTCGATGCATATTGATATTGTCATTTAATCTACCACTAGTCCAGATATGAATTCAACTATGTTCAAACTTTTTGCCTGAGTATGACATATATACTGTTTTTTATTCTATTGTTAGTTGATAATTTAGTATATTATTAGGCTTATTGCTGGGTTTTTACTTATTACAAAGGGATTTTTAGCGCCTAAAAGGTTCGGAAAAGTATTTTGCAACGGGTTAGTTTGTCCGAGCGAAGGTCTTAAAGGACCAGAATAATCTTTTACTAATATCAGAACATTAAAAATATCTATTCAAAGTGAAATCTGAAAAAACAAATATTGGTATCGAATAACTGAGAAGAGATAGAAGAGAAGAATAAGATAAACAAGGATATCCAGAACTTTGTTCTTTGTTGTACAATAATTTACTCAAGATAAAATTGATTGAATCATTCGATATTCTCTTAAATCTATATTTTCCGCTTCAACTTGCCTTTTCTCATTAGTTCGAGCATCTGCTACATTAATTTTTTTCCAGATTTGTCTAGCACCTGTAATGCAAGATTAATACACGATCTGTACAAGAGACAGTTGCTTCTTAACCGTGAAATACTTGCACAAATAGCTATATCAAATAGGAGTTGTCTTTATATCGAACGAAATCATAAAGGAAGTAGATTGGAAAGAATCCACCAGAATAATTTAAATGGAGTTCCCCGGAGAATGAACTCCGAAAAGGTAGAGTAGAAATTAGTATGAGAAAATATAAAGAGATAGACTAGAAACGACATTTGTTGTGTCAATGACACCAAAGGGAGCTCTTGTTTTCTCCTTTCTAGTTCATGCAGCTTTTCTTGAGCAGTAGCCAATTCAGAGGTGCGGATGATTCTGCACTGGAATCAGGAAAATAGTAAGGACACATAAAACCATTCACAATCAGTCCTTTGATTCTAAAAGGTCAAGCTACTTATTTAGGAAGTGTATGTGAATGTAACGGCAGAAGTAATTATAAGAAAAAGTAATATCTCACCTGATTCTTAAGCTCCATTATCCGCAGTTCTTTCTCTAAATTCTCCCCTTCATAAAAAGTGAATTCAAAATCAATCTGATTTAATAGTTAAACACATCTCAGTTACTAAGCAGTGACCCAAACTTACTAGCAAGCTGCAGAGTTTCATTCTGAAGCTCAGCTTCAGGTAGCAACTCTGTTTTCAACTCGCGTGCATCAACATCCCATGTAGCACCTCTGTTTTCAAATTAAGTTGCTGCACAAAATTCCTTTGCTGCATATATTGTTAATTATATGAAAATCGGCAAGTTGTCTTTGGTTAGGTTTCTTTCTCATATTTACTTGTTTGTTCTATGATGACTATGATTTGCTTATGAATAACAAAATATTCCATATCGATTCACCTAAAACATAGATGATCAGTTGGGTTCTAAACATAGGTGCAGTTGTTAATGTACATTTTGTGAATTTGTTTCCTTATTCCTTTTGACAACAATAGCCTTATCCAGGTTCTAAACATAATGGTTAAGCAAGCTTGTGTTAGTGCTTTGCATATTCTGTTGAATTTTTCAAGTATATTTGATCTATCTTTCTTGTCATGTTTGGTTTAGGAGCTAATTTTCCAGGATAACTGATTTAAACACAATAATTTCCATTCACTTTTAGTTCTACATTGATTACAATAGATAATTTTTACTATCAATATAAATTATTTATTTGAAGTGGCTAAGCTAGCAAGTTTGATATTGTAGAATCATTCACGGAACTTTAACGAATTAATTTGCTTGTTTAGTTGCACAGTTGCTGCAGCTTTCAATATTTTTATGTATTTTTCTGACGATCTTGCTGTCCGTTGTAGTAAAACTTACCCTGAGTCATGTTCTAGCTGTTATTTGATTTTAATACTTACCAACATATTGTTTCTTTTTGCTTTATGGGGTTCTAAAATATTTATGTTTTTGGGTATCAGGGTTTGGGGATTTATGTATGATCATAAAAGTAATCATATTTAAGAGGAGAATAAACTGAATTCACGCATTAGAGTACACCTATGGGAAAGGATACTTGATGCGGTTGGAGCTGAATATTGCTTTCTTTTGGTTTAGAATGGAGGCTAAATCTAATAATGTGTTTGATCAAACTATAATCTGATGTGTTTGATAAAAAGTTACCTTAACTGTTTATGTATAATAGAATTTTTAATCATTAGCAGAATAGAAGACATCCTTATGCCAAAATATTTAGCACTTATAATGCACATTTTTGTCCTACCAATTTATACGTCTCTTCAGTATCAGATAAATTTTATGGTATAATGCACATTTAGCCCTTCTTCTGTATTTAGAACACACCAAGGAATTGGAGAAACAATAGATAAAATTTGAAATGATACTCTATATCTTATATTTTTGTACCTTGGAACTACTTTATCCTCTTTCTCAGGTAATACTTTTCTGTGGAATCATTTTCAAATCTTAATTGTGTGAATACTTTGGTTAATCTAACTAGTTTATATAGTGTAATTAACAAGTGATTTTCTGTAATTTCTATTGTGATATTGAACTGGTTATATAGTGTAACTAGCAACAAAAATTAAATTGTTGCTTGCTCGTATTTATTATGTCTTCAATGCAAATCTGCTTTGTTTTTGTGTACCTGGGAGGAGGAAAGAAAAGTTGTTGTGGCTATGGAGAGGTAGGGGTGGTCTGTAAAGTCCTCCTTTTGAATTCCGCATCAGGTTTTCGCTTGCAAGTATAAAAATTGACTATTTTCATATATGTTATTGTCTTGTTCACGCCAATGAGATTATTTTAGTTGGTCTGCTTAGTATAACATTAAGTTAACCTGTCTCTAAATGCGACCTGTAATTGAAGTGTTTCAAATGGATATCCGTTTAAAAACCAACAAAAGAAAAATGATTCTTACACATTTTTGAACAATTATGAGAGCAACTTGGAAAATAAACTAGTTAGTAGTTCCTGTAAGTGTTGTTCAGATAATAGAAAAATCTGACAAGAAATTAGAGCAGTAGAGCTTTCTTTAAAGTATTGGTGTGCTTGTTCCTGTAAGCTTTCCTTTTCCCCCTTTTCTGGGAGTGACAGTGATGGCATTTCATCTCCACTCTACTCCCTCAAGGTTGCGTGTTTAGTTAACAACATACCTGATTATCAAAAGATTTTACAATTGAAACTGACTGCTATACAAATAAAGGTGACTGTCAACACAGCCAGTTCTGCCACAACCATCATAAGCATTGCATTGGAAATTTTCTGGAAAATCACATAGTTAAAGAATTAAAGCTCATTAGTTCATGAAACACTGAATCCAGAAATATAGGATACCATTTAATATATGATTTCTGCTTTTCGTTGTTTTGCCATTTGATGACCTTTGAATCTTCCACTCTAGGTAATTCAGAGCCAAGAAAGGTTCGAGGGCCTACTTTACTAAAAGATATTTGAAAACTTTCTCCGGGGAAGGTAGTTGATTGTAAGGCCCCGTTAAAATTTCCTAAGGATTTAAGATTTAAATATGCGCCAGTGTTATTTGGGAATAACGTATTCGAGTATTAAAGGAGACCTACGGGATATAACCACATCATTTTGAAATGAAAATATATGTTTAAGGTGTGTTGGAACATATTAAGGGGTTTTGTGAATGGGAAGGATTTGTGTGTAACAAGTTGGATACATTAAATGGAAAGAATGTTATTATGTAAATATGGTTTCATACTTATATGAAGGTTTGGAAGTCAATTCGGGTCTATATCATAGCAAGGTATCAATTGAGGGTGAGTGGAGAAGCAAGAAATGGAAAAGAAAAGAACTGGGAGCGTGCTAGGGTTCGTGCAACGCGTGGATTGTGGCACGCCATCCCTCTCAGCAAGTTTGAAAAATCAGTGAAGTATAGAAGATGGCGTCGGCGCGGGTACGCTACCCCCACCTGAAGCCTTTTAAGTACTCACCTTGGGGGTTCAATTCCCCCATTTCACTTGGACTGAATTTGGAGCTCTTCTCCACTCTCTCAAGACCACCAACTCCTTTCTTTTTCAAGGTAAGCAATCCCTATTATCTTGGTGTTAAATTTCATCATTTCTACACTAGTATTGATGAAATCTACACATAAAATACATAGATATTCAAGAAATTTTTTCGAGAACTCAAAGGAGGATTTTGCAAGATTTCTTCCAAAAGGTAATTCTATACCCTTAGACTTACATGTATGGATATATTATGGGAATATGAGTATGAATTATGTATTGGAACTTATAGTATGGTGATTGGAAGCCATAAGTTCCCAATTTAAATACATAACCATTGTAGAGATTGAAAGGTGATTATTTGATGGAATTTTGTTGGTTGGGTGTGGATGGATGGTCATGTATATTATGTTGGAAGTTATGAATTGTTTAAGAATGATGGTGGGATAAATTTTTGATAAATGGTAGTAGTTGGATGAACTAATTCTATGGTTAAGAGGTGTAGAGATTCATGCCTACTAGGTGTTTGATAAAATGTCTAAATGGCCTAAATTATGGAATTTGTTACTAATATTGGTCCCATTGGATATTGTTATTGTAGATTGAAGTTGCTTAGTGTAGTGGATCTTTGTAGTATCATTAAGGGACGAATTTGAGGTATGTATGGCTAAACCCCCTTCTTCTTAGAATCGAATCCCACGGTGTTCATGTAATTGAAGTAAGACCTTGATTATTATTGAATTGGCTATTCCTAATGTAGTTGTGTCGAAGGATATATGTTCAATATTTATTCTAAATACTTCATCATGTCATCTTTCCATTTGAGGATATGTTCAAAATGTGGAATATGTGTTAGAAAAGTTTAGACTTTATGTCAAGATCGAAATAAAGGTTGTTATGCCAAATTGTATGAAAAGCCTCTATGTGCTTAAGATACCCGAATTGTTGTGTTATGTGAACTTAATGTCTTGAACGGGAAGACTTATTGTTGTTGATAATGATTATGATAATGATATTTGAATGTGGAAAAAGGGGACTTGAATTATGAAATACGACCAAGAATGATTTTGTAATCGTGATCACTAATGCTAATGAATCGAGAGAATATGAAAGAATTATGATGTGAGATAATTAAAATTGTGGTTATGGTTGATATCTTAAGTGAGATGGCCTAGCCGATCAGGCCGTGATCGGACGTCATGCCGCACACATGGTGGTAACTGTGCTGGAAATGATAATTGAAATTGTAGATATGGTTGATGTCTCAAATGAGATGACCTAACCGATCGGGTCGAGGTCGGACTCCGTGTAAGAGCACGGTGGTATTGTGGATTGTGGCATATGGCACTAAAGATTACCCAACCTAATAAGATGGAAATTGACTTGAGAATTTATATGATCCTTACTTGATGTTTTAGTATTGTTTTGAAGCTCTTATTGAACTCATGACTGTTTTCCCCCTTGTATTATTGTCCATTCTATTGAGATGGTATTTTAACTTTACATACTAGTACTATTCGACTGTACTAACGTCCCTTTTGCCGGGGGTGCTGCATCTTTAAATGGATGCAGATAGTTATATAGCAGACAGTGTTGATCGCAGTTAGTGGTACATCATCATCTTTCCAGCAGACTTGGTGAGCCCCATTTTATTCCGGGGTCATGTATTGTACCTTTTGTTTATATTGTGGTCACATTTTGAGGTATAGTCGGGGCCTTGTTGCCGGCATTATCATTGTACTCTTCTTTATCTATAGAGTCTCCGTAGACATAGTGTGGATTATGTTTTGGTGTTAGGAAAGACAAACTATGTTATGTTGTGGTTGTATTACTTGTCCCATTTGAGACTTTAAAAATGATGAAACCTATTGGTAATAGATTGTTATTGGAGACATGATCACATTTTTGTATAATTAATAACGCCGGTCACGCTCCTCGGTTTTGGGGCGTGACATTGATGTGCCGTTTAATAATCGTAACCAAGCTGTTGGGGAAAAAGGTCGAAAGCTTGCTAGCTTTCTAGGAATTATTGCGAGAACTCCATAACTAACACCTCCACATGTAGATGATTGGAGAAATTTGACAAGGAGGAAAAGAAGAAATTGATGGATTTTGTGAGGGTATGGAGTAGTTATTATTATTATTATTATTATTATTATTATATGAACAAGTTCAATTTTTTATACATGATATTTCTTCTAAATGCTAGCTTTATCTTTTTAGAAGAAGTTCTCTATCCCAAGACAGGGAGAAGCTTATGTCCTAAAGTCACTAAGAAAGAAATGAAAAAATTACAAATGTGATTTAAAATGTGAGTATATTGTCAAAATATAAGACTAAAGACGTTTTGCTGAAAAATAAACCAAGTCGCATACAGAGGGATCAATGGAGTGGTCTTGTCTCTTATTAGCTTTCAGATAAAGTTAAGGTATTAAAAAATCTTTAAAACACCTCTAGTTGATTATTTTCAGTATTTTGATTTTAGTTATGCTCAGTTTTTATTTATAATTTATAAGATATCATTTTAATATTTGAATGATAGAGGCGTACTCAGGTAAATAGAAACAATAGGGCCAATCAAAAGATGCCTCACACAGGAGGATCCAAAAGTATTGCCACCTTGATGGATGAGCAAGTAAACTTGTAAAAATTACTAACTATAGTATTTTAAAATTCTTTTTTTTTCACGCATATCTGTAACGATCTAACCGGTCGTTTTGAGCATTTGCACTTTGCTCGATAGTTTACGGGCATGAGTAGCTCTATATGATGTATTATAACTTATGTGAATCGTCGGTTTTGGTTTTCAGGTTATTCGGAATTAAATTGAAAGAATGGATTTCATTATTGAAGCTTTAAATTAGGAGAGTGGTCCAAGTTTGACTTTTTGTGAATTTAAACCCGGAACGGAGTTTTGATGGTTCTGGTAGGTCCGTTGGGTGATTTTGGACTTAGGAGCGCGTCCGGATTGTGATTTGGAGGTCCGTAGTAGAATTTGACTTGAAATGGCGGAAGTTGGATTTTTGAAAAGTTTGACAGGTAGTGGACTTTTTGATATCGGATTCGGATTGTGATTCCGGGAATTGGAATAGCTTCGTTTTGTCATTTGGGACTTGTGTGCAAAATTTGGGTTCATTCCGGGTTGATTTGCTATGTTTCGACACGAGTTATTGAAGTTGAAAAGTTCAAAGTTCATAGATTTCGATTTGAGGTGTGATTCATCGTTTTGATGTTGTTATGTGTGTTTTGAGGCCTCAAGTAGATCCGTATTGTGTTATGGAACTTGTTGGTATATTTGGACGGGGTCCCGAGGGGCTCGGTTGAATTTCGGACGTAGTTCGGATCATTTCAAATAGCTTTGCATTGCTGGTTTTTCTGCTGCTACTTGTTGTTTCTGGCATTCTTCGCGATCGTGAAGGTGTAGTCGTGATCGCGAAAGGTGTTTGATCAGTGGAGCTATTTGTTCTTCGCGTTCGCGCTTCTGAGGTTGCGTTCGCACTGGGTTGAAGATTTTTGTCTTCGCGTCCGCATCCAATGCTATCCGTTCGCGTAGTGTTGAGGTTTGGCAGCTGGGAGTTGGAGAATTCTTCAACGCGATCGCGAAAGGTGAGTTGCGTTCGCGAAGCTTTGCATCAATGGTCATAGCGTTCACGTGGGGTGTATCGTGAATGTGTAGTGCTTTTGGTGGCAGTGTATTTTTGTTCATCGCGAACGCGATGGACTTCCCGCGTTCGCGTAAGAGGATGCCTAGGCAGAAGTATAAAGTACTCTATTTTCGGGGTGTCGGCCATTGTTTTTGCATTTTTTGGAACTATGGAGCTCGGATTGAGGCGATTCTTGAGGCAATTTTCACCATGTGGACTAGGGTAAGTGTTCTCTACTCATTTTTGATTTGATATCATGAATCTATCTTCGTTTTCGGCATTTGATTGAGGGTTCCAAAAGAGAACTTTTGGGGGTTTTAGCCTAAAGTTACATAATGTGAATTTTTGAGTTTTGAACATCGATTTGGAGTTAGATTTGAGTGAAACTAGTATAGTTGAACTCGTAATTAAATGAGTTGTTGGATTTTGTAAATTTTATCGGGTTCCGAGGTGCGGGCCCGGGTTGGGCTTTTGGCCGATTTTGGGGATTTTGATTCAAGATTTGATCTTTTTCGATCGGGATAGGTTCTTTTAGCATTGTTTGATGTACTTGAGTTGTTTTTGGTTAGTTTCGAGCCGTTCGGAGGTCGGAACGCGCGGGATGGCATTTTTGGGGCATCGCTTGGCTTGCTCGGTATTTGGATTCGTCTTGTTCGAGGTAAGTAACACTTCTAAACTTAGTTCTGAGGGTATGAAACACCGAATTACGTGTTATGTGGTCGATGTTGAGGTGACGTACATGCTAGGTAACGGGCATGTGGGCATGCACCGTGTGAATTGTGACTCCGTTATTCTGTGGTATTGTGTAGTTACTTGATCTTACCTGTAACCATGAAATTTCTACATTCTTGAGCTATTGAGCTGTGATCCATGTTAGAAACCATGTCTAGGCTACATGCTTATCCTGTTGGGACCCACTGAGGTCATTTTTGATGTTGAGTTATCTGCTTTCATTGCATTGCATACTCAGTCATACGCATTCATATGCATATTATATCTCAATCTTTGTTGCTGTTTATTGATACATCATATCATCATTTTCGGGCTAGTTTCATGGCATTGTGAGCCGGAGAGAGAGAGACTGGAGAGATTGATGACTAAGTGAGGCCAAGGGTCTGATTATGAGTGGCATTGTGGGATCAGGCTGCACGCCGCAGTGATTATACTGATTTATGATAGCGCTTGGGCTGAAGGAGTCCTCTGGAGTGTATACACACCCCCAGTGAGCGTGATTGATTTATATTGAGGGATGGATCTTCCCTGGACATGGATCTTGTCCGAAACATTTATACCTGAGGATGGATCTTCCCCACGGGCTGGATTGGCCCTACTCAGCATTGAGTGACTGGTGATCAGTTGATGTATACATTCCGGAATGGATCTTCCCTGGGCCGGATTCATAAAACTTTATTTTTGTACTTTTCGAACAGATGATGTATTTATTTCATACCAGCTTTGTAAATTCTATTCTTAGAAGCTCATGATTTGTACTACCAGTCCTTGGAAAATGTATAGGATTTAGATATTTTCTTTTACTTAATTGCCTTATTAAATTTTATTGGAATTTGTTAGTTGTTAATTGGCTTACCTAGCGGGTTGGATTAGATGCCATCACGACTAGTTGAATTTTGGGCCGTGACAAGTTGGTATCAGAGCTCTAGGTTCATAGGTTCTACAAGTCATGAGCAAGTGTCTAGTAGAGTCTTGCGGATCGGTATGATGACGTCCATACCTATCTTCGAGAGGTTACAGGGCATTTATGATATATACTTCTCATCTTTCTTTCCTTATCATGCGGAATTGATTCATCTTGAGACATAACTCTTTGAATTCCTTCCACGCATTCGCATGCTCACATGAGCGCTCCGTATCAGCTGTGCATCGCCGGCTTGTGATTCTATGAACGAGGTTCGAGATGTATATTCTGTATTTTGGTGATGGGCCAGTCTGCAGGACTTGAGGCCATGGTTCGACCGCAGCTTAACCTCGATAACT